AATCAAGCCATTTCCCTAGTAAGCTACAGTTTTTCACTTTTTTTGTAATCGACAAATTGAGCTTCAGGCTCTCGCCCAGATCGTACCCATTTCGAGCGAACGAAATCAGTTTCGTCAAGTAAGGTGCTTAGCAGTTTCAGAAAAGCTACGGTTTGGGAGAAACTCCAGCAATAAACCTCTGTACATAAAATGCCTTTCAAGCATTTTCTTACTAGAGAGGGACTCCTCAGTCAGTTGTCCACATGAAAAGCCTAATTCTCTGAGTACCTGGACAACTTTTGAGATAGTATCTGCTCACGAAAGTTTTTTTTCTAAGTTTGACGTTTTTGCCACAATCGTGAGTAAGTTGTTTGACTGCAAATTCTATAGTATACTAACTAACCAGGCGGAGCTAGTCCATTCGACACCACGCGCTCGTAATGATACGGATTGATACAGATGAAATCTTGATGTTCATTTGGTATGGTGCACATCGAAAGCTTCTGAAAGTTGTTCCTCTATCAATTGAACTGTTCCGAATTTTCGAAAATATGCAACAGAATGAAAGTAATCTGAGAGCATAAATTTCCTACCACGAGTTCATTTTTGTTCACATTTGGCCATCGCCATATCCTAGCATAAACGACGTGAGGAACTCCCTTACGTCCGGCTACTTGCAGACGACCATCCAAAGAACGCTGAAATTTTCTTGAGGAGGATTTGTGGCAAACGCAAATATGGAAAATTTACTTGTATAGTCACGCAAGTAGTGGGTTGCTTTCCAGCTGATGTGATAGCCGTAATCAACGCATCCAGCTCGACTCGCTTCTCCTTCAATTTCTTCACCAGACTTTCAATTGCCTTCCGCACAAACTCCGCGTCTTCACCGCCCTGCAAGAGAAAAAATCGATATATCGATTACCATTAGCATAAGCATTCAAAAGATTACCTGCTGGTAACACTGCAAAACATGCGAAATTTGTTGGCAAGTGTCCATGGCAGAAGCGCCAAAAGTCTGCCCACTGCTGGTGGAGCCGGTTGT